TTTATCAAGCTTAGTAACTAAGATGTATTTTAGTCTAAAAAATATGAAATTTCGAGCAGACTAAAGACACACCCTACCTCGTTGAAATATTGGTTACAAAAAAAAGAAATGGCACCAAGCCCGTTAAAATGGCTGAGAAAGCCTACTAGGTGGACATTCTGAGCTTCCAATTGGTTACTTATGTCATATATAGAAGCGAGTGTATATAAGGGAACATTTCCAAAAATGGAAAGAGGTGGGTGGGGTGCTACTGTGTTTGATTTATTACATGAGCAATAACTTAACAAACTGAAAGGATAAGAGGCTCTTATTTTATATTCTAGCTTGTCAATATTGGTAATGAGTTTTTAATTTGTACGAAACTAAAGACTTAGTATTTTGACTTCACAAACATTTAATTTGAATCAGTGCTGCATTCAACATACCATGTGACACACAAAAAACAATGTTTATCTGTGTTTTTTAATATTTGCTTTTAAATTAAGATATTGAGTAATATATAGTACTAAAATCTGAATTATAATCTACAGTTTGATATCAAACTTATTGATATAAATTCATGAAATAGTAGTTCAATAAAATTTTGAATGCGAGTCAACAAACGAGATGATATGGCCTTTCACCTGTGACCCGTCTCGAAAGGGTTAACATATTTTTATGCTACTCAATCTTATTACAAAGTAATCATGATTAACAAATCTACAACTTTCCTGAAAATACATTTGAGGTTTCTGCAATAAAATGGCAGAATTTTAGATCATTAATTTCCAACCTTAAAAAATACCATTTTTTGGGGTAAGCTATTGAGCCACAAACATGAAGTAATGTTAAAGACAGCTAGCACATCTTACTGTACAATTACATGGATTGAATACATATAAAATAGAATACATGATATTACTTGCCTGTAAATCATCATTTTTATCCCTAGTAACAAGAAGTTTAGTAATGTCATCATTCTGTACAGCTTCTCGCAATTGGGATTCCAACATAGACCTCTGACATCGCATCTCTTCAACTTTGTTGTGAAGTTTCTCCAACTCTCGAGCCCCACCTTCAGAATTTGGAACTAAATATAATGGAATAAGCTGTTAGCTCATTTTCCAAGAAAGCACTGGACAGTTTCAGAGTCTCATACTACAATGACTGACAATCCAAAATGCAAAGCTTAGATATCATACACATATATATATATATATATATATAGTTTAGGTAAAATATTTAACAAAGTATAAACTCGAAAGACTCGTGAAAACTTTTTTTATTTTTAGATGTTTGCTATCCCTCCTTTTTCTTAAATCATTTAAAATACTCTCTTTATTTTAAATCATGTAAGCCATGGATAGTGGCTACAATAAAAATTAAACTGTAACAAGTTTAGCAGAACAAGACAAAGGTTATTTTTTGTCTGGATTCTGAAGAATAAAAAAAGAAATACAAATACCATCCAAGAGTGAAACAGAGGGCAAAGCTTTTTGTAATTCTTCAAGTGGTCCTGTCAGGAGCTTCAGGTTGTCCAAGTGTAGTGACAAAGCTTTATGTAATGTGGCATTGGATTCTGAGGCCCTCTTGTGAGCCACTTGATACTTCTCACATTCTTTCATCAGTTCACAGGTGATCATTGATGGTGCTCGTTTTCCATGTGTCACCTGAAAGTTTATCTTTATGTTTTTAATTCATAATTATTAAATGCTAAACAATAAACAGAACTATTTAAGTTAAAAAAATACATTAAAACCTCTGACACTAACACCATGGATTATTACACAATTGTGTATTGATGTATCTTTTATTATATAATAAATGTATTAAATATCTCAGTTATGCTTCTGAAACATTTTTTTCAGTTTTTCAAGCAACAAGTGAGCATCAAAACTATAATAAGTCTATAAACTATGCATTTCCAGAAGCAAATCAAAACTTAAAATAACTGCAAGGAACAGCTGTTCTTAAATTGATGTCGAGAGTACATTTTCTATCTAAATGATAAAATATTTTTAAGAACAAAACTTAATCCCATGCCACCATTTACTTTCACAATGAAAACACTAATCTAGCCTCTAATATTAATACCTGTGTGAATATCCAGATTCAAAATAGTATTATAATAGCTCAAAATTTCCAATTAATTCACAAGAAAAATCTTAATTGCATTGTGCTTCAAAAACAAGCTAATAAAATTAAACTGAAATTACCACAAGATTAACTTTTTTCCTTGTAGTCAGTTTCATTCCATAGTGTACTAAAACTAAATTTTCAGATAATTAATTGTTTATCTGTATGTATTAACAAATACCTGATGATGCTTTTCCTTTTCTTCTTCTTCTGTTAACATTGTCTTACTTTCACTGAGAATATTTTCAACTTCTCTACTGATATCAGTCAAATCTGTAATATTTAATGATATACTTACACAAGGTTTTTAGAATGGCAAAATAAGCTATAAAGAAAAGACAGTTGAAAATACTAAATGTAAACTCCTAATAAACTAAATGTTAAGTGTTTAAAAACATCAGAGGTTTATTCACCAAACTTTGGAATGACATGTTTCACTAATATCAGCATTCTAACCCTTAATATAAAATTTCTTGTGATGAAAATCAAATACACTACACTAACATTAACTCTCTCACTATGGGCTCAGTCGATTTTGACCTAAATCTTGGCCCCAAATTGCCCTTTAGAGTTTCCATACTATAACTTTTAACATGTTTTGTGTATAATCACAAAATTTTGCAAGCTTCCAGTAAGCATTACAAGTCTTTTACACACACAAAAGAAAAATGAATTTTTAATCAAATATTTTTACTAAACATTTCTCCATGAATATATGCATTTAAATCATTCACTGCTCAAGAGCAAAGTGATTTTCATGTTAAGATTAAAAATACCTTTTTCATCTAAAAATTGTCAAATTTCATTTGCATAATCTATAAAACCTTCTAAATAAATTTTAATTTATTTTTTCAGTAAAACTGTTATTTTTTCTACCCTAATTCTATACAGGGTTGGTCAAATTGACCAACCTCGTAACCACCATAAAATGCTTTCAATTTGTAAGAGGAAACTAGACTTGTTTACCTAAATAGCTTAAAATTAGTAACAGTATACACTTGTTTCTATTTCAATTTTATTGTTTTATTGCCCTTTGAACACTTCCTAACTAATAATCCTGCACACAAGTTGTAAATTACTCAAAGAACATTAAGCTCACGTTACCATATCAAATTATGTAATTCACGAGCTACTATCAAGCTACTCGCGAGAGAACCTCATGAAAAAGTTTTATTTTTCTTAATCTTACCTAAAAGGTTTCTAATATTTAAATTTCAGCTACTTTTATAATAATAAATAAAGAATACACATGAAAAACAAGAAATATAATACTTACCTTAGTCTTCTTTCTTTTCTTATTGCTGTAGACTTTGATGAAACTTAACCCACTTTTTGTTTTATGCTAATAGTACTGCTACATTAATTTTTTTTTTATTTAGTTAAGTAATGCTCCCAAGAACATAGAATAATAACATGTAAAAAGCAGACAATATTCTATAACTATCACAATTTTTCTGGCTTTCTAACTATGCGATAAGAGCCATTGCAAATTTAGCTAAACTTGTGAATGTCTTTCCTGTCGAAATAAAATTTGAATTCTCCGCACAGGAAACAACATAACATAATGCATCATTTGACAGAACAAAACTCTGGCTATCTAGTGGTTGTAAATAATATAGTATTAAACATAAGATAGAATTATTGGCAATTTGTGAAAGAAAGGATGTGACAGGTGGCAAGTAAAGTCTGGTAATAAAGTAGTATAATTAAATTTTGAATGCAACTCTAAAAAGTCATGATGTGCACTTTGACCTGCCCATAGTGAGAGGGTTAAATTATTCCTTAACCCGATGACCACCGGCTACTAACTTTCTGAGTAGCGAATGCAAGTCTTGCTATATTTCATTCCAACAATAAAACTAGTGGATGAAACTGTTCGAAAATTCATAAGAGCTTTCATAAATACATATTGTTTAAGAAACATAAAGCCTGTTACTTTTGATAAATTTAGTTATTTTGCATTATGATCTTTAATATCTTGTAAAATTACATTAGGAAATGGTATTTATAAGAAATGATTACAATATTTATATTTGTTCCTGATTTGAACTTATTACTTTTTATGTTTTAGAACATTATTTTGAAATCCAAAAAAAATTTGTATCATCCATAAAATACAAATTTTATCTATTTTTAATTTTTTCATAATCATGTACTCTCCTTATGGTTTCAACTAATATACAAGACCCTAAAATAATATTTGTAAATAAACCTAAACAATAAATGAGTAACTAGGATTTCATGTTTATATATGTACATAAAAAGCATTATAATTTTGTTTCATAAGTGTATTTTTATTTCAAGTTTATGTTTCATTGCAGCTATACTTTTGTTTATTGTGCCAAATAAATTGAGGTTAGCAGTGTGAACTTTTTACATTTGCTGTAAACTACCATGCTTGTTGGTGGTCACTGTCGTTCAATCTAGCACAGCCGCATTTCAACATTACTGTAGATATGATAGTAAGAAAGCTTTTCAGTACTTGAATATCATTTCTTTGAAGTTTCATACAAGTTTATTTCAACGCATGTCCTTGTATGTTGTTTCACTATACAGACAAGATTAATTGCCACTACTAGCAAATATATGTAATACTAATAGTTTACAGTACAGGTAGGTGGTTTGAATAACACTGCCTGACCCTAGTTACTTGATACATCCTGTTAGAAGAGATTACCAAATGATACAGACACCATAAATTACTAACAAAATTACTTTACAGCACTTAAAATATTAGTCCTGGTCACATTCCTATCATTATAGGCAAGACAATTAAGAAATTCAAAACTTAAGCTTTTCAGTGTATTGAGACCCCTACTCTGTGAATGTCAGCTTCCCCTGTATTATTGAGACAAATGTATTTAGTCTGTTTCAGAACCAAAATATTGGTTTATTGTTGTCACTTGTAAACTGAGTTTTAAACCATTTGCAAAATATCAGAATAAACTTTTCATATATCAGTGAAACTGTTTTAATGCTAAAGCAACAACAGTAGTGTGGGTCTTACTACAAAGTAAACATAGTAGTACATACAAATCACACAAGTTTATCATTCTAAATACTGAATCATATTTTTTGTTATGAACTAAATATAAAATTATGCTAAATAATTGAACTTAAAACTACTAATTTAAATGCAAAAGAATATAAAAAATCACAAACTCTTTCAGTTCAAAGTGCTAAGCCTAATTCATGTAAAGACCTTGCACTCGTCACTCGATAGCTCTTAACCCTAACAATCGTGAATCAACTTCTTTCCTAAAAAATATATCTATTTTGAGTTAATTTTTCAATATAATGATTGATATAAATAGATATGTGATACAGCATGACTTAAGCTACTATAGAAAAATAATAAAAGTCACATACATCCCATGCAGTTTTTTCCAGAAGTTTTCTAAGGCTTATAAAAAAGTACTATTGACCAATACTAAATACAACCTTTACTTAAAATGGCAGTTACTATAATAAGCACCCTTCATGTTCATATTGTAAAATCCAGAAAACAACGTTTCGTCACGTGCTTTGCTTATCATCCTATAATTTGTCAAACGTGAAATACAATGATTGGTATAACATGGTACTGAAATTGACACCTTTGACTATGATTGGCTAAAAGTTTTACAACTGAGGTTTAACATGCCCAGATGCTGTTTTATAAAGAAAACACTCTAGAAAAAGGTTTAGATACCAATCATAGATGGCAGGACCAGCATTGAAGTGGAAAGAAAAATTTGAAAAAACATTTTCTTCTTAGAAGGAGCTTATTTATAGTCTCAAACGTATATTGGGATTTTTTTTTTTATTAAATTTCTTTTAAACTTCATTAAATAATACAATTTTGTACAAATAATTGAATGTTATGATGCTATTTACAAAAATAACATCTGAAATCCAATAAAAGATAAGTTCTCTATATTTTTTTCAATTCACAAATGTGATTTTGCCCTCACGGTAAGACAAAATGGCCACAGCAGGTAACGGGTTAAAATCTACCTGTGATAACTCCAAACTGATGTATGTTTGTATGTTTACCGTTACATGTGAATTTGACATTTATTTACCATAAAAGGACTCTAATGCTACAACTCATCCTTGTATCCTATTTTATATTTTTCAAATGTACAGTTTTTAGCACAAAATAAAACTGTTTTTGATATTTTGTCTATGTTTTCTTTGTCCTTACTTTCCATTAAATCTGTAAGATCCTTCAAGGCTGTAGGTTTTACACTAAAAGCAGCACATTTTTCTAAGAGTTCCTGTGGAATTTTTTCAGTTTCTGGCTTCAGTGAGCTTATATCTAACTGAAGAGAAGACATGTAGGTTCTGAAACATACATAATTAAAATCATTACAAAATCATAAAATTATAAACAGGACAATATGTCATTCTGAATATGAAGATAAAAAGTTTAAAATATTATATGTATTCTTAATAATGTTATACTTCGATTTGAATTAGGTGGACAGTATTCCAAGTCTAGCTAATTTGAAACTGTGAACTATTAGGCTTATCTTCAACTTATCACATTTTAAACTCATTTCTACTTAGTAACTGTATACTTATTTAGGCTGACCTAATGCAATTTATGTAAGATGTCCATTTTTGTTTAAAAAATAAAATATACCTTTATGCAAAAGGCATAAAAAAAAATTATAAAATATGAAATTAAAACTGTATAGCATCCTATAGTGAAAGTCAAAGTTTTTATACTTTCAAAGCTGTATTATTCTTGTAAATATATCTTTCTCAAAAATAACTATTTCAGTGTTTTCAAAATATTCAATAAATGCAACTTTTTAGACTTAAATAAGTACTGAGAAAAATTGTTTTACCTTATTTCTGTTACTTAAATTTAAAACAGGTTCTGTACCCCAATAAAATGGATACTGATTTAATATAACAGATATTTAGGAATAATTAAAATAATGTTTTACTTACAACAATTCTTGATCTTTATCCTCTATTTTAGCTGCCATAGCACGTAACAGTTTTGCTTTTTCTTCACTAAGAATGAATTCAAAAATATGAATTACAAATTCATATTAAATATTTTCACATTTTTAGATAATAACTGTTAAGTTACATAAAATCACCCAATACTTAAATCATACTTATTGCTTTGTAATAACATTTAAAAAACAAGACTTCCATGTTGCATGCACTAGAGAAAATGGACTTTTAAAGGTCAACTTATAATCTATTGAATTACGAAATTTCAAAACTTTTGCTGTGAAGTGTTTTAAAAATATTACAATACTTTCTTGTTATTTTTTTAATATGCTAATCTAACAATAATATTTAATAAATAAGGATTTGAATTACTGGAATATTTTGCTGTCACTAAATTTAATAAACCTCAACTGATGCCTTGTCATAAAAAAATTTTTCCATAGCTTTCAATTAAATATAATTTAAAAGTAAAAAATTTTAAAGACCAAAAATTGTGTATAATGTATAAAGAAACTATAAAAGAATTTCAGATTTGTAGTTTGTTCTTAAGTCTTCTAAGTTATTGCTCACACATTAGTTACTCAACATTAACATAAACAGTTCATAATGTGATCTATGAAATGTTATATAAACTTTGCCTGTATTTATATTCAAAGCTATGTTTCAGCCACATGGTGTGACATGACAAAAGGGGTGTGAATGAAGACGTAGCAGTAAAACCAGTAACAGAGAAAGAACATTGTGTGAGAAACAAAATATGGATCAAGATACATGGTAGTGTGTTGTGCATGACACACTGTGTGTTATTAACAGGAGTGACAGTTTAGCAATTTTCCACTTTCTGTAACTTGGACATTGGTACTCCAGACTACCACATATTTTCAGTGGACTCTTACTTCACATACCAAATACACAAGATATAAAATTTCCAACTTTGATTGCATCTCTTCCTATTATTTTTTTTTCTTTGCATCAAAAGTACAGAAACTTTATTTGATAGAAAAACATACTTAACTTTCAAAGATATTTTTCAAATTTGGTACACTAATACATCTTAACAACCTACAATTAGATGTTAAACTTGGTCTAAATATAGGCCACAAGTGCAGTTATTAGAAAACAAGTGCTCAATTTTGACCAAAATATTTTTGGACTTGCCTACACAAAAAGTCATGTCAGCTATCTGTCAGAAATTTTTATTATAGCTTCACCTAGGAGTAAAGATGGCTTTGAATTAAAGATGGCTGATTTAGGGCAGCAAAACTATGGAGTGAAAGAAAGTGCAGATACATATGTATTGGTTAGGTCAAGCAAACTAGATTAGCAGTTTCTAGATCAAGTTTCAAAAGAAACATATGGGTGAGCAGTTATTATTCATTACAAAATTTGTTAAATTTTATGAAATTTTCCAAATTAAAGAGTGTTTAGCATCACATAATATTAGTGTAAATAATGATGCTTGATACGGTGCAGGTGATAACAAGAAACTGTTAACCCTTTCCAGATGAGTCATGGGTGAAAGACCATGTCATTGTGTTTGTCAACTTTTAAAATTTCATTGAACTACTATTTCATGAATTTATGTCAATAAGTTTGGCATCAAACTGTAGATTATAATTCAAATTTCAGTATTATACCTTACACAATTTCTTAATTTAAAAGTAAGTATACAAAAAACACAGTTGAACATCGATTTGTGTATGTGTCATGTGGTATGCTGAATGCAGCATTGGTTAGATGTTTGTCATGTCAAAATACTAAGTATATAGTTCCGTACAAATTAGAAACTCAAATTACCAATATTGACAAGCTAGAATATAAAATAAGAACCTGTTATCTTTTCAGTTTGCTAAGATATTGCTCATGTAATCATTCAAACACAGTGGCACCCCACACACCTCTTTCCATTTTTGGAAACACTCTCTTATATACACCCACTTCTATATACAACATGAATAACCAATCGAAAGCAAAGAATGTCCCCCTAGTGGTTTTCTCAGCCTTTCTAACGTACCTAACACCATTTCTTTCTTTTGAACCAAGATTTAAATGAGGTATTTTGGTCTTTAGTCTGCTCAAAATTTCATATTTTTTCAGACTGAAATACAGCTTAGTTACTAAGCTTGATAAATTATAGTGGAATTCTGTGGTATTGATATAGTAATTTAAGATTTTTTGGTAATTCAACTGCATATATATAAAACCTAAAAAAATATTTTGTTTCATATCCTCCACGTGCAAAATTTTAAAAGGCTTAGCAACCTACGTCAAGCAGCAACTGAGTATAAAGGTCATGACTGGAAGAGCTAATTGTTTGCTTTACTTCTTTTTTACTGTTTTATGTTTTAAGAAAAATAAGTTTAAGAGCATATTTCTAAATAGCAATAATCTATATACATATATAATGTATAATAATTGAAA